GGACAAAGAGAGATAAGGACAGGTCAGGGTTCTGGAGAACAGCTTGTAAATCTCAACGGGGAGGCAAGAATGCAATCGATTTTCAGTGTTTCTGGGAATCTTGGGTCAGAGAGTTTGTCTTTGCATGATAGAAAGACAATAGCGATTGCAGCGATTACAGTTTTTGATGGGGGAAGATTCTGTGAATACTGGAACAAGTCAGGGACGGGTCACATGTCGCTCTGGTTTTTATGGGTCGCACTTTCCTGTGCAAGCTTTTATTGAGCACCTATTTTGTCTAAGAATACAAAGATAAACAAGGAAAGAACTCTGCTATTAAAAATCTTATAGCTGGGTGGTGGAGAAAACAAAGTATGCTATGAACCAGGTGTCTGTCTTCCTACCTGAAATGATTGCTAGACCTTTGGCCACACTGGCGCTGAGCCAGATGGACTTGCATCCAATAGGAAACAAAACAGAGGAAAAAAAATTCAAGGTTCCTGGTTTGGGAGCGGTAGACTGCAACCACCACCACAACAAAGGGATAGACATGAGCCCAAAGGCAGCAAGTTTAACCCTGCATTTTACAGAGAAGGAAAATAAGATCTGAAGACGGAAGTGACTTGTTCAGGCTGCTGAGTCAGGTGGACCCCCAGGCCCAGTGTGAACGACCTTTCCTGCTCCTCTCCTCTGAATGCAAACTATATGAAATAAAACAGCGAACCCTCTGTATTCCTTTCCCCTATCTATCAATAGTTAAGTTCGGCACCCACAACACATCATTAAGAATTCTACGGTTTGGTTTGTGCTTCCTCTGGCCCCTCCATGTCAGAATTCACAGAGACATTTTCTGAAATCTCCATACCCCATACCCCCAAATTCTGGTCTTAATATTTTAGGATAAGCTCAGGTACCTGGAGTTTTCATGAGGCCCCATGATATTGAAGTGCATGTCTCTTCTCTTAGTCAAGGCTGAGTGGTCACCCTCAGCATCTCTTTCATCCACTAGCCAACTGGGTCATTTATGTAGTGTGTCGATTTTCTTGATCATAGTGCCAACTCCAGAAAAGCCAACGGACAATATATTTCCATGTTTCATTTTTTCCAAAATAAACTGAACAGTGGCAGCAGACTGAGAGAGGGCATCTGGGAACCTTCTGGGGTGATAAAAATTTTAGGGATGCAGGCTCAGTTTTGTCAAGCCTCATTGAATTCTAACACCATGATCTGTGTGCTTCCTGTGATCCAAACATGCTTAAATTAGATAAATGAAACTTAAAAAGGAAAATAGAAAAACTGTTGCATTAGGAGCAGCAGGGCTGTGTCCCCGGCACCCGGCTGCCCGCATGGCTAGGTTATGCCCCGAAATAATTACACGGAAACTGTATTTTTTTAAACACTGCCTGGCCCGGCTAGTTCCAGTTTCTTATTGGCTAGTTCTTACATATTAATCTAACCCATTTCTAATAATCTGTGTAGCCCATGAAGTGGCTTACCAGGGAGGATCTTAACCTGCATCTGTCTGGCGTGGGAGAATCATGGCGACTCCTTGACTAAGCTTCTTTCTCCCAGAATTCTCTTCTGTTTATTCCACCCACCTAAGGGTTAGCCTATCAAGGGGCCTAGGCAGTTTCTTTATTAATAAGAAATCACCCCCACATCAAAAAACAACTAACTCTCAATTGCCTTATGATAGCATAAAGGGATTCAGCATAAACATTCTTTGGAAAGTGGGGTGGTTTGGATGTCCCCCAGAGGCTCATATATTTGGACCCTTGGCCTCCAGTTGGTGGCACTATTTGGAGAGGCAGTGTGGCCTTGTTGGAAGGAAGCGTGTCCCTGGGGTTGGGCTTTGAGAGTTCTTAGCTTCTCCCTCCTTGCAGTTCCCTCTCTCTGCAGTGCGTCTGGGGTTAAAGCTACAATCTCAGAGTGCACTGTAGACCCCTGCTGCCGAGCCTACCACTGTGGACTCTCCCTCTGGAACCATGAGCCCAAATAAACTCTTCCTTCTGGAAGTTGCTTTTGGTCACGGTGCTTTAACACAGCAATACAAAAGGAACTAATTCAGAAGCCCTTTAAAAACCCTCTACCAGGGCTGGGGAATGATTCAGAATACTGTCTGCCGCACAGTGTAAAGATCTTCATTTTCTCAGTTTATTTGTAAAAAATCCAGGCATGCTTATGCACACCAGTAATCTTAGCACAGGAAGGCAAGGATAGAAGGATTTCTGGAGCTCACTCCACAGTCAGTCCAGCCAATCAGTGATCACTGGGTTCAGTGAGAGACCCCCTCCCCAAGGATAAGGGCAAGTGCAATCAAGACATGCCTGCCCCACCCCCACATGTGATATGTACACACACATATACCCACGAAGATAATCTTCTAGAGCTAAAAGCTTCCTTTGTGTTAAAGCTCTTTTCCTCTTTTTCATTATTCATTATCTTTAACTGACTCATAGTAATTGTGTATATTTATAGGTTACAATGTGGTACTTCAATAATTGCATACAATTTTCTTATTCCTTCTTCTTCTTCTTCTTCTTCTTCTTCTTCTTCTTCTTCTTCTTCTTCTTCTTCTTCTTCTTCTTCTTCTTCTTCTTCTGCTTCTTCTTTTTCAAGACAGGGTTTCTCTGTACCTTTGGAGCCTGTTCTGGAACTAGCTTTTGTAGACCAGGATGGCCTCCTCAAACTCACAGAGATCCGCCCCTCGAGTGCTGGATTAAAGGCGTGTGCCACCACCTCCTGGCAATTGCGTACAAGTCTTAATGATCAGATTGGGGAAAATGACACACCCATTGCTTCAAACATTTATCAAATTCTCTATACTTGCTACTTTGAAATGTTGAATGTGTTGTCAACCAGGGGAGCCCTACCTAGCTACAGAACTTATGTAGGACTCTCTACTTCTCAGAGGAAGTAAAAATCAATCTCAGGTTCAGCAAATGCACAGAGGCTAGGAAGAGACACGGGGATGGCTCAGACACGTGGCTTTAGAACAGCTCCATATCCACCCAGAACTTGATGCTGACCTGAATAGGGCCGGGGCATTATATAGTTAGTAAGAACCCAGGACTTCCTCCCCTGCCCTTCCCTCCACTCTCACAGATTTCAACTGGAAAGATTGCCTTCTCCTCAGTCCAGGTATCTCCCCCAAGGCTCCAAGGCTGTTTCATGTGTCCATATCTGCATGCCACATTAAGTGTCTGTAGGTAACCCGAGGTGGGCACAGACACATGAGTGGCTAAAGTCAACACTGGAAGAAGAGGGATGGATGGCATTTGTAGCTGGAGAAGTAGTGAAAGGAGAGTCTTTGAAAGGAGCAGGCCAAGAGTTCTCCCTGCTGTGAGATGTCTGGACTTTGTCCTGAAAGAAACTATAATTTTTAAACTCGGGACCGACAAGCTTTGCCTTTCACTTCCCTTGCTTTATTTATGTTTTAACCCAAGGAAGTACACAGTCAGTTCTGCAGCTCATGGCTCCACTACAGGGAGCAGATGTCCCCAGTGTGAGGGGTTGATACCCAGGAATGCCTCTCCCTTCACTTCTCCTCCCTTGGCAATGAGGAAGCCCAGAGGCTCTGAGTAAACTTCCAGTTATTCAAATGTCGCATAAATGTATGAATCCTTATTTTCCACATTTATACCTGGGGCTCCTCCCAGTAGCTTCAACTGTCAACTTGAAATGGCCTGGAGTCATCTGAGGGAGTCTCAGTAGAGGGATTGTCTAGAGGAGGTTGGCCTGTGGCCATGTCTTGAGGATTGATGGGGAGGGCACAGTGCACCGTGGGCAACACTCTAGGCAGGTGGTCCTTGGCTCTAGAAGAAAGCCAGCTAAGCAAGAGGATGTGAACCAGCCAGAGAGTGAGGCAGTGAGCAAGATTCCTCCGTAGTTCTTTTCTCCAGGTACTGAGTTTCTGCCCTAATGTCTCTCAATTGATGGAGCCTGGGCCAAAAGTGTAACCCAAATAAACACTTTCCTCCCGCAAGTTGCTTTAGGTCAGAGCATTTTAACACACAGCAACTGAATGAAACGAGAACAGGACTTCAAGCTTCTGGACCCTCACACTTAGTTTTATGCTGACTTCTATGTTGGGTCGTATAGCTCTGGAACCAGCTGGGATGCATAGCAGCTTCTCATCACTGAAAGTGTGTCTTGTCTGGCACCCTCAGCTACAGCAGATGGCAAGGTTAAGAGTGTCCCAGATGCATGAATCCAAGCCAATAAATCCACATAGTAGAAGAACAGGGGGGATGGTGCAATGGTAAAGGCCTTGCTGTACAAGCCTGACGACCTGAGTTTGATCTCCTGATTCCATGTAAAAAGCCAGGAGCGGCGGCCTGATTATAATCCAAGCACTGGGGAGGATAGATAGACAAGTGGGCCCCTAGAGGCTCTTCCATCTCAGCCTAGTTAGTGAGTCCCAGATCCCACTGACCCACCCACCCTGTCTCAACAAAGAGGCTTTTCCTAAAGAAAGACACCCAAAGCTGACCTCTCAGGCTAAATCTTTTAACACTATTCTGAGCAAGCTGAGGATTTCCCATTTTCATCATAGGGTGCCAGGCGCTGATTTAAAAAAAAAAAAAAGACTGTGACTATGAACAATTTAGCGAGGAAAGAGTTTATTTCACCTTATACTTCCAAGTAACAGTCCCTAGTGAGGGACGTCCAGGCAGGAACTCAAGCAGGGCAGGAATCTGGAGGCAGGAGTTGGAGCAGAGCCATGAAAGGGTGCTGCTTACTGGCTTGCTGCTCCTGGCTTGCTCAGCCTGCTTTCTTATACCATCCAGGACCACCTGTCCCGGGGTGGCCCCGCAGTGATCTGGACTCTCCCACATCAATCATCAATCAAGAAAATGCACCGCAGGGTTTCTCACAGGGGCCAATCCAGTAGGGAGGGGCATTCCCTCAGCTGAGCCCCTCTTCCAAAGTGACTGGGTCAAGCTGACCTAAGACTAGGCAGCACATCCACCGAGTCAGATTAGAATTGAAAACTGGAATCAGGAAGTCCAAAGGCACAGCTGAAATATGGTCAAAGAGAAAGACAAGACTCCAAGGCGCCACCGCTGGGCCAGGGCTCTGCTAACTAACAGGTAGGGATAGAATGTGAGAAATTTTGTTCAAGTTTCTTTTCTCTTTTTCTCTTGAGACAGGGTTTCCCTGAGCCCAAACTGGTCTTGAACTGGCTAGATAGGTAGATAAGGGTGACCTTGGATGCCGGGTCCTTTCTACCTGCCAACTGCTAGGATGATAGGCATCTATCACGATGCCCAACTTGAGTTCTGAAAACAATTCAACCAATCTAAATGATCATAATATAAAAGCAGCGGAGCTTCAGAGTGTACTTATAGTTTTCTGAAAAGTTCTTTTGCAATTAGCAAAGAGCAAAGTATTTCTGTGCTTGCAAATTTCACGGAGTTAGGAGATGTATCTGAATTGATGTTATGGCTAATCACACTAAAGATTTCTGGACCTTTCTACTCCTCAAATATCTACTACCTCTGTCCAATATAATGGGCGCTCTCCCTCCCTCCCTCCCTCCCTCCCTCCCTCCCTCCCTCTCTCTTCTCTCTCTCTCTCTCTCTCTCTCTCTCTCTCTCTCTCTCTCTCTCTCTCTCTCTCTTTGTGTGTGTGTGTAGGGCCACTTCTCTGCCCAATTTTATACCAGGAATGAGGAGATTCAATGAGTTTGAAACTGAGGGCTATCTCCGGACATTTGGAAGCCAATAATCCCTGTCTCTCAGAACCATCATGGGAACGACTGTGTCTCTGCATTAGCTACCCAGGAATGGCTGTGTTTCCACATTGGCTACCTAGCAGTGATTTTTAAATTTAAGACTGTTGAAAATGAGTAATCTATACATTAGCGTCATCAGATGACTGATTCCTTGGAGAATCTTCGTGGAAACGTTTGGTTGGTCTCAGCTTTACAAACTTGGACTGTCAGCATCTGAGAGGGAGCTGGGAGACTCCTGCAGGAACTGTGGTATGTCTCCAGCTGGCCTGGTGCACACAGCTCAGGGGCCTGTGGATTGGGTGGTGCTTTCTTTCCTCATTGCCTTTAAGTTACCTTGCTACCCTCTGGGCTGGCTGGTGTCCCCCCCCCCCCCTTCTGTTGCCTACTGGAGCTAGGTCTCTACCTTTGGATTATATTAACTAATTATTAACTTCAAAGGGTGGATGATTGCTTCATGGTAATAGCACTGCAGGGGGCTTCAAGATGCCTCAGCTTGATAGGCCCTTTGGACACTATCCTCTCAGGCTTCCCGGCAGCTCAGGACTTTCAGGTGGCCCCCTACTGAGACTGACTGGTTTCCTGAGGAGGAAACTAAATATCTTGCAGTGGAGGGCGGTGAGGGCATCTAGTCCTGTCTGGCTTCCTGAGCTAACACCAGGAACCTTAAGCAGCCAAAATCTTTAGGCCATAGGGTTCAGGTTTCATACAGAGCTGTCCTGTTTACTTAAAATAAGCAGCCTGTTCAAGACATTTTGGACCACTTCACTGGGCTGCCTGAGGGCACCTTACAAAATGTTGTGCAACCTGCTTGTTGTGAGGAATTTAGAAGACCGTTCTAGAAAGGTGTCCAGTATTAGTCAGCTGAGACTGCATTGAGTGTCTGTGTGGACTCTGAGAGGGGTAAGAGGCTTAAGATAAAAGGTAGAGAGACTCTGGAGAGATGGTTTAGGGGTTAAGGGTGCTTGCCCACGGGCAATGTGGGATCTCAGTCGCCATGTAGCATGCTGGGCAATCCCTACAAGTTCCTGTAACTAGCTCCGGTTGGAGAGGAGAGAGGAGGCTTGCTGGAGTTTGCTGAGTCATGAGTCCCTGCCTGACTCATGGAGAAACGCTTCCTCAGTGGAACAGACAGAGAGTAATGGAGGAGACAGTGCCATGCTCTCTTCTGGTCTCTGTACATGTGCACAAGCACTCAAACCTGCACGCTTATGAGCTTGCATTCACACTGGCACTACCCATTCACAGATGACACAGATGCACAGACACATACAAATAGATAAATATCAATTCTTTTAAAATTAATAATATTACTAATTCTTTGAGAATCTCATATATGCATGCAATATTTTGGCCATATGTTCTTCCCTCTCCTCCATCAAATTCTTCCCAGATTTACCCCCAACTTTAACTACCTTTGTGCTTTCTCTTGCTTTTTTTCCTTTTCCTTTCTTTCTTTCTTTCTTTCTTTCTTTCTTTCTTTCTTTCTTCCTTCTTTCTTTCTTTCTTTCTTTCTTTTTTTTTTTTTAAAACCCACTGGGTCCAGTTTGTAGGATCCACATACTCATGGGTTTCAGCCAAACTTGGAACTCGGTTAACCTGCCAGGAACCACATCTGAGTCTTCTTCTCTCAGAACCTATCAGCCAGGGTTGTAAAGAGTTCATCAGCTAGGGTGGGACTTATAAGTGCTCCCCTTTCTGTACTGCAGTGTGGCTGGCTTGATCTTGTGCGGGTCTTATGCAGGCAACCGCAACTGCCGTGAGGTCATTAGTACACTGGTCCTGTCATTTCCTGAAGATACTCTTTTGCTCTGGTCCTTATCCATCGTTTGTTCTCACAATCTTGGCAACCCATCTTCTGGAAATGGTCCTTGGAGGGTGTGTAATACAGATAGCAGATGTCTCATTGGTGACTAAGCTCTCTATCTATATCAGGGTCACCATTTAGCCATGGCTCTATCTTGCCGCACCATTTATTAGTGTAGTTCACAGGGTTCATGGCTAGGAAGAATTCTGATAACTTGCTGAAACCAAATCTTAAATTACGTAGTGCTTAAAAAAAAAAGTCATGGGGGAGGAGGGAGCTACAGTGATAGTGAAAGAGCCACCCTCCCACACAGTACATTGGAGGTCTGGGCTCTTGGCTAGAACATTCTTAGGTGTACATATCACTCTGGATCTTCTGAAACAAAGGTTGTCGTCTACTAATCTTCTGTTTAAAAATCTCTAAGTGATTTTTAAATCTATATTCTGTGACATTGACTCACCAAAAGATGGCCTGGGTCCCATATTTTATCCATCTGTTTGTCATCTTGTCTATCTCTCTGTCCCTAGTCTCCAGTGTCCCATCATCTCCAGTTTAAAACAAAGGCTGCTTATAGACAAAGAGCCTAAAGCAACTCTTAATATGTTAAGAAGGCTGATATCTGCCCTCTCCCTACAAATGCAGATATAGCTATTATCCCTATTAAGGGAAAGACATTTGGAGTGGAAAGGGTGAGAGGGGGTGGAACAAACACTTATTGAATGTCTATGATCGATGCTGTGCACATGAGCCATGAGAGCCTTTGAAATCACTCTACAGGAACAAGACTTCGTTCATCTTACCAAATAGGGAGCCGGAGTAATCTCTCTATGCCTAATGTTTCAGGCTGAGTAACTTCTGGACTTCATGGTAAGGCTTGGGGTTCATCAGGACCCAGGATGAGATAGCGGCATTTCAGGGATACCGCCAGGAAAGAGGAAGCAGGGCAGGTGAGAGTAAGCCTCTTTGCCCCAGCTCTGGGCAGAGCTGTGTTGTTTCTACACATTTTTCAACCTATCCCTGAAATTTCAAAATCCAAACTATTGTAAACCCCCAAAATCTTCGAATGATGAGCTGATGCTCCCGCTGGAAAATTCCTTAGTATGAAATTTCATTTCATTCACAAAACTATTAAAGACAATTGCTTGAAATGAGCTTAAGGGTATGTGTATAAGACACATACAGAAAGAGGAGTTCTTGTTTAGACCTTCATCACAACCCCAAGAGAGCTTATCATATATATGGAAATATTCCAAGTGCTGAAATAAATGCTTCTGGATGCAATAATTTTGGATAAAGGATAATCAAGCTAATCTATCTATATTGGATTGTCTGGTTATCCTTGGCTATATAGTGAGTTTGAGGCAAGGCTGAGCTGTATGAGATCCTGTCTCAAAAAACAAACAAACAAACAAACAAAAAACACAAAGAAGAAACACTTTAGTATAAGCAGCGGTTGCCCCTTAATTCAGTCATTAGAAACGGGACTGTTTCAGACCTCCAGGCCATGGGGGACAGGCAGAGGGACAAAGGACTTAAGACTCTCTAAAGCAGATGCCCTTGTTTCCCCAGATGCCCTACAGGTAACCAGTGCCCCTGAGAGTTTCTGTCTGCAAGGTCTGCTCTTTGTACCCGTGCGTTTGCACCTTCAGCTCTCTCCTTCTGGAATGCTATTTCCCAGAGCCCTTGGCAGCCCAGGCTGAGTTATCTGTCCCCACCTGTGTGGTCTCTTTGGGCACTCCTCCATCACAGTGTGCCATCACGCTGCGCTAATTGTTCATTTACATGACCCACCCACTCTCAGTTCTGTGTCTTTTTATCTTTACACCCTCAAAGCATAACAGAGTGTCTAGCTCATACCGGAGGCCTCATAAATATTTGCTACATGAGTCAATGCAAGAATGTGTGGCTGTGTAAAAAGGCTGGCTTTGGACATAGGGCATGGACGGGAGCTGGAACCATAGCGCGTTCAGTAGCAAGAAGTGGGAATGGAACGCATGAACTTGTGCACATATCGAGGTCAGGCAACTTCTTCCCACGAAAGTTTTGAGTATGACCAATCGGAGAGTAAAACCCTAATTAGCCCTTCTGGTAAGTGAAGTGTCATCCAGAACATTCTTCCTCATCACGCCCGATGGACAAACGTGTCCAGTATTATTCTGTCTGACGTGCTTGTGCAACACTGAGCCTGATCCTGGTTGGATCATTTCTTTTTTGTTTTTATATCTGCTTCATTTCAATTATAGAAGTAGCTCTAGGAAGCTTCCCCTGCTGTACACGGAGCCCCAAAGAACAATAAACCTGCCCTGGGCAAGGGAGGACTTTATGCCTCTGAGTATGGAGGGTTTCTGGCAGACAAATGCCACGGAAATGCATAGAATGTCAAGAATATGAAAGCAAGAATGACTTTTCTGTTGGAGTTTCCAGCTTAGGGGATGCATTCCTGTCTTAGCTTAAATAATGTGTCTGCAGAGGAGGAAACAGAGACAGGTGCCTGGGAACTAAGAGTTAACAGTGTCTGTGTTTGCTCTGGCATGAAGGGACACATGCAAGCC